GATCGATGACGTAGCACAAGGTAATTTACAATATGGTTTCCCCTTTTTTTCTGGAAACAAAACAGGTGTTAAAATGTTAAAACACCAAAATGAAACCTTTTACAAGGAATTACGTCTTCATTAACCACAATACTCGTGGTCAGAATGCAAACAAAAACGTACTCTGATAATATATGCATTGTCTTTGAAACTGACTGGTTCACACCAGAGACGGCTTTCTATTGAGCCTCATCTCACCATTTTGGCGTCCTCTGGTCGAACACCGTTTTGAGACGAGGATCAAAAGAAAGCTATCTCTGGTGTGGCCGTTTCAAGGACGATGCATATATTACCAGAGTACGTTTTTTAATTTGCATTCTGACCACAAGTATTGTGGTTAATGCAGACATGATTCCTTGTAAAAGGTTTCAGTTTGGTATTTTAACATCTTAACACCTCTTTTGTTACCAGAAAAAAGGGGAAAACCTATTCTCATATTTTGGTATTGGCAAAGGAGGTCCCATGATGTAGAAGGTAATTTTACATTGCTCAAAATATTATTTGTACATAGGTTATGATTCAACAGCTTTGTTTAACAACAAAAAACTGTAGAACACTAAAATACAGCAAAAATTGTTCAGCTCTTACATCCGAGCCGAATTATTTTTGCACTTAAAAATAACTATGGCATTAAATGTCAGAATGTTTTTCTTCACGTATGTAACATACAATTAGATCAATATATACCTATTTAAAAGAGCCTAAATTTTTCCTCGGACAATGAACATCTTCAAGGACTTTTTTTTTTTTACAAATAATGTAAATTTCACCAGGATTTGTAACGAATGCATGGCAATGACAGCAATTTATTTTAGTTAGCAGAGCAGAAAGGCGCGTGCACATTATGCTGAATTGCATTGACCATCATTCATTTTTATGCACCCAGTCTTACACAACAGACTGCACAGCTGTACATCAGAGCGGTGGCATCACGCGCGTGTCCCTGTGATGACCGGCAGGCTCATTTCCTGTGCATCAGTGAAAAAAGAGCTTCATAGCTCATCGGATTCCTCCAGTTATAAAGATTCTGATTTAACTAACACGTTACAATACTGTGCACGTACCCGTATACAGTATTGTACACTACAGGAAGAGAATTATGCGGCTGAAACTCACTGGAGGTGAACTGGAGACAAGACGGCACCACGTGTTCTTCTCAGGAAGCATCACGGCGAGCAGCAGTTACGACGAATTAACCTTATGGCGGGACCCCAGGGGGTCCCCTACGTGTTAAAGTACATTAAATAGTACACGTTTTCAATGCGCTGTTCATATTGTAACAAGCGTTTATACCAATGTTACTCTACAGAGTAGTGGGTCGCCGCTCCTCTTATCCGCATTGATACGAGCGGTATGTGGGGACTATGGCTTAACCACAAAAAAAACCTATCTGCACAGATGCATACAGACAAGAGAAGCATGATCAAACAGGAGGAATTAACGGCGCAACGCATCTCATGTTAAATATCTGCAGGTAATAGAATTGTCATCGATCGATCCTGGCTGCAAAAATAATGATTAAGATAAGAGAGCAGTTTCATTGAATTACGCATACCCTTATGACAAATAGAAAACGTAAGTCGTGTAGGCAGTTTGAGCAGATTTGGAAAAGATTATGATCCTGCCCATACCCGAGCATGGAGTGCATTCGCTTGTTCAGCTCTTCTGCGCATTCGTTTTCGCTACGCTTGGACATGACATGACAACAGAATGATCCGCGCCAGGTGGGTCGCGACGTTTATGTGCGCGGTGAGACGAAGTCGCCAAAAATAAATAAATTACGATTTTGACTTCCGTATATTCGGGACCGCGGGGTCCCGCCATAAGTTTCTAGATTTAAAGCTTTCGTGACTGCTAGGATCCATACTCTCTGGTTCTATTGGGTAAAGTCACGTAGGTAAAAAATAAAATAACAAAAATCACGACGTTTCGGCCACAACACAAGCGGCCTTCATCAGGTGAAGGGACGAGACTGTCTGGAGGACATTTTTTACCTACGTGACTTTACCCAATAGAACCAGAGAGTCCCGCCATAAGGGTCATATGACGATCAACGGCGAATGGTCGAGCCACACGGGCACGATTAGCAAACTGTGCCTCATTAAATTCGACGCGAAACCGTGATAACTAAACACGCGATAGGCAATGGTTTTCTGTATGTGTATTACGAGGCACAATCTCTGCAACTAATGGGAATTTGCATAAATTGTGGAAAATTTGAATTGCATACCAGTACGACCTTTTCAGCAATGATTTTATAAAATCTCTTGCAAGTTGCAATAAAACATGAATAGTATAAATAAATTTTCTATTGCAGTGACTTGCAAAACAAACCAGCAAAATTCATCATGTGCCTCCAGAATGAGTTTTTTTCCTAAGCAGATGTTTGTCTATTGTATGTGGCTTTCAATGTGTTCACAGCTGATTTTTTTGCACCATTTACCATTGCCTGATAGATAACACACCCAGCCATGTAACCATTATCAACATCCAGTTTTCCACATATTACCAACACTAATTTTTAACAATGCACTTCTTAAATGTGTAAGTCTGTTCACCCTCGCAACCATGCGATTCAAGCACATTCATTTTAAATGGAATATTTGCTTGCCTATCATATATTATGAAATCCAACACGTTAAACATTTGGCAGATTTTTTCCCCCTCACATTTACATTGCCACAATCGTAAATTAGAAACGGCTTTAAAGGGAAATTCAATTGTGGCTGCAAATGCAGATGACAAAGTGTCAGGCAGACAAAAAAATGTGGCTACAACAAGGGCTGCACAGGACAGATAGGTGCTTGTGTTACACCACAGCAGGATTTTCTGTTCTTTCCGATCCAAATATTTGGCCAGCTCATGGCCAGAGAACCAATCTGGAGCAAAAACATGTTTAAATACTGTGTAGGTTGTTGCAGTTGTGCTGTAAAAACTATTTGTCTTCGGGTTGTACCACATGCTATATAGACCCAAATTAGTACATCTTGATAATACACAATGTCTTGCCTCCACCACAAAAAAATACAAGTATTAGGCAAGTAATTCAAATTCACTTACCACTGTACTGGAAAATAAAGCTCTGAATGAGAATCACATTGCATCATCCTTCTCTTCCCAAAATCATCACCCAACCTCCCGCATAGCAGCAAAAATTAGTTAAGTGTTGTACACAACAATTCCAATGTCGCCACCTGAAGTTTCTATTAACTTGGGTCACAAGTCGGCCAATGCTGAAAATTTATTTTACAATCTTTCGCCCAAAATGCCAATGCCACTCCGAGGTGGCAGATGTGAAATAGAAATCTTAACCCTGCAGCAGATGTATCCAAGAAAATAAACTGTGGTGAGAATATGCTGTGGGAATCCCAATGGTAGAAGAGCATTAATTACCAAGCAAGCATGGCAAATCTCCATGGAGTTAGTCACTTTCCACTTGGAGGAAATCAGTACTTTTAATAAACTATTTGTAACAAGTTGGGAGAATCAGGCCATCGCCAGGATACCTCTAAACTTTTCAAAAAATCCATAAACATAACCTTACAATTAGAAAAGCTCGATTGAATGCTCACAATTTTCACTGCAAGGATACCATGAAAACGTAGTAATTTACATCCCAACACGAACTCATGAAATAAAGTATATATTAAATCAAATAAAATTCATGTACACACAACATCCTTCCAAGTTATTTACTGAAGATATAATTTACAGTATGTACATTATAACCACACACTCGACAATAGAGCATTGTTAGATATTACCACACCGGCTCGAGGAGCACCAAGTGAGTGGTTTGACCAATTCTATAACCCTTAAAAATTTACATTTCAAACAGAGTAAATGGGATTGAGATCAGATGGGGCAGAAAAGTAAAAACGAGCTACTCCTGGGATCCAGCAGTTGGAAAGAGAAGGAAAAAAATCCATACATCTCAGCTCTAACCCATCAGGGGCAATACCAATCATAACAACCTTTTATATTTCACTGCCGAGTATTTATCATCTTTTATCACCCACGTGGCACACGATCACTGGCCCAAGTCATAATTGCACAAATCCCCAATGCCACTTCATTTGGGACAAGTGCCAGGCTTTTTGCTTGTGTTTTAATGGCTTGCGCACAATGGCACTTGTATTTGAATAATCACGTGAACATGGATTAATAAAGCAATATAATTTAAAACGCTGGTGGGTTACACAATGTTAAGAGTACACAGTAGTGTTGTACGGTAAAAGTCTCAATTTAAATACTGGTCTCAGCATGTACATCTGTTCAGTATTTTTTTTACTGAACACAGCAGATTTTGGTTATTTAACAAACTATGGTTGTCTAAGTAATTTCTATGTTTTTTAAGCTTGCAAAAGCATATACGTTTACAGTACGCTTACATTACAAATCACATGAGAGCCCATTGAAGTCAATTGCCAACAAATCCAATTTATCCTGGAAACATCATCGAGTTTAACTTTTTTTTCACATTTGGATATTTTTTTTTTAATCTGTACGATACAAAGTGACCTGTGCATAAATATAAAAATGAAACATATCAACGGGACAAAAAAATGTGCTGTAAATAAGAGGTACGTGATCAGTCTTTAAAAAAAGTACTGTTATTTAAATTAGTTTGTTACACAGGTCTTCCTCTACTTGCAAAAGTAGAGGTGATTGGCAACATTAAAATAAGTCAAGATGAATGAACCAGTGGACAGCTTATGAAGTGGCTTGTTGTAGGTCTGCAATGCCCCCGGCAAACGATATAAATGGGCACCGATTTACAAGATGCTCCAGTTTGATCAGTGTCCACGGTCACATTGTGTGCGTTCCCATCTTCCAGGGGTGTAAAAGATGACCGCATCTCTCATGCAATGTTCTGAAATGGTTCAATGGGGGACCATTGTTTCTGGGGTAAGGCCTGAAAGGTTTTTTTGGGGTCTTCAATCAGATGTTTTTTTGGAGGCATTGGTATTAGGTGGGACATTCGCATATCCCAGAACTATTTCAGTGCCGCAATATTGAGGGGGGGATGCTTTAGGACCATTAGCCCGATCCCAAAAAAGGCATGCGAGAGGAATGACTAAAAAATATCTTAAAGATGCCTTAGGCTTTACAACTGATGATAAACATTGAGGTTGAGCATTTTAACATTAGCAATCATATAGAGTATTCACCTGAACAGATAATGTAATCAATATCATAGCAATTTACGGATACATAACCGTGAATCTGATGTTGGTGTATTTCTAACACCAAAGAGCAATATTTTAAAAAAACTGTGCGTGACTTGTTATCATTGGCCGACTCATATTTCTGTGTTCCCGACGCATGTTTAATGGTAGCAATTTGTTTTGCACTTTGAAGCCTGCATTAGAAATGCACTGATGAATAAAGATCAGCTGCTAGGTTCATGAATAAGATTTTGCACATTTGTGAATGTAACATTGCAAGAAGGCAAACTGAAAATTCACCGATGTCAAATAGGAAATATATTTTTTTAATTACAGTAAAGGACTTGAGCTTAAACTTAATAAAAAAAACTCTAAAACAAATCCCCATTCTCATTTTAGTTTTTTTTTTTTATACACAATGCACAACACATCAATGAAAGCTCTGTACAGTTGGATTACCTTATAATACTTAAGTACAAATTTCCACAACATTCCAAGGCATAATAAAGAAAATAAAAAAATGAACACCCAAATGTAAAAAAACTACTGGACGTTAAACGTTTATTTCAAGCAACATTTCCGTACATCGTAACTACAAATTATAAAACCAAGTCACGTTTCAAGTGGAATAATTAATTTACCATAATATATGCAACAGCCGTGTCAATACCCAATTATATTTCATTGGCAATGCATAACAACTTCTTTTTTGTGGTTTATAGCTCATTACAAAAGAAATCATTTAAAAAAACACTCAATCCAATAGCCGCAAAAAACATTATACAGCATTTAAGATTTCCAAACAAGGTCAAAACACAACATTTACAGGAATTTAAATATTAATAAAAGATGTAAAATGTGTTCAAAGGTTTACTTCAGTTATGAAATGGCAACGGGTGTCCAAAGATTGAATGTGCTCAAAAGTAAAGTATGCAGATATGATGCATGTGTTTTGTATAAATAACCAAGGCATCAAAAATGGAAAACGGTTCTTAAGCATTTCCTTTGTTGTATGTTCTTGCCGTTGGGTTTCACACCTGATGATGACTGCTTGTGTTGCAGTCGAAACGTCGTGATAATTTTATTGTTTTATATATATATTTTATTATTTCATTGTCTCCCTTCAATGTGACTTTACCGAAAGAACCAAGAATATGTTTTGTAATAGTTTACAGTTATGTCAAGCAATCACAACCGTGGAGAAAGCGATATAAGAACGGTGGCACCGAGAGTCGAAGAAAATTAAACGGCATGGGCCCCCATACTTACGGGGGGCCATGTGGTTGTCTGGGAGACGAGCTTGGGTTTTCAAGTATTACAACAGCCTTCCTCTGCATTCAGTGGAGCCACAGTAGCAGAGCAGCTCTTTACCTGGCACGCTGCCCACTTCATAGCTGTAATCCCATGTCAGCTCTGTGCCTGCCCGAATGCGCCTGTATCATGGAGCACAATGGGGAAAAAAGGATGAAAAAAATCTTTATTGTAACAGAAAAGCAGCAGGCCTGGCCATGATAAGGCATTTTACATCATTTAAGACAATCGGAGAATAAATGCTGCATTAAAGTGCTGCAGATGGTGACGTCTACTTACTTGCTGGCAAAGAAGGCAACCCAGGGGAAGCGCAAATCATGGGTGTCCACAAATACATTTTGTACAAAAAGGTTTGGACTGCAGCTATGCTGGAAGGCAAAAAACACACTAATTAATACTGGAACACATCCCCAGTATGACCGAGCATAAAAAAACGTAACAAGACAACGCAAGGTTTCAACGAATGCAAAACGCAACAAAACGTGTGCTAACATTGAGGTATCGGCCGAGATTTCCAATGAGTTTCGCATCGATGATGTAGCACGAGTCCTCGCCATCAAAAAACTCGCGCGTGCTCTTCTTCTCCGGCTGGTTGCCGCCTTCGCCCGTGCCGGAGCCCCCGCCACCGGAAGGGCCGCCGCCCCTCTGCCCGGGCCCGGCCTGTGTCGACACCGGCCCCCGCCCCAGCTCACGTCGCATCCCCGTAGACTTGACGGCGACACCGCGTGCCGTCGTCTTGAATGCAAACCCTCGCTTCACGGCGACCTGCCGCTTCAGCGGACGATCTGCTGGCAAAGAGAATATTAAAATGAGACAATTAGTGAACAATAATTATGGATGATGTTACTCTCAAAGTCCAAGTCGGTGGTGCTTTGCTCGAACAAACATGGGGTGACGGGCAATTATATATATAATAATCTATGTTGGCAACCTCTGACTGGTGGTGGAAATTATATAAGGCAGGGGACATTTTCTATAAGAGAATAATTGTCGCCTTCCCACAAAGCATATTCAATTTTATCGAACCCAGTGCTCTGGGTACATATGTATGTTGAACTTCTTTCGCACCATACATAGCCAACGGTGCTAATCGGAGGTGCACACACATTAGCCATGAAGTAGGTTAATAAATTAAATCCCTATTCGATACAAAAAAAATTGCATTGAAAAAAGGAACTGGCTAAACTCATGAAAGTATTGAAAATCACATCAAGGCGTTTTGAGAAAACAAATGTAATGTTACATTACCAAGATCTGCATATATTACAAATAAACAGATAAATGGAGAACAACATGCTCTCATGGCCAACACAGTTCTCCTATGCACAATATATAATGGTAGATGAGTAAAGCAATGTCATCACATGAAAATAATATTTTAGTCCAACAGCCTATGCAGGTTCTGAAGACGGCAATAAGTATGCAGACCACACCAGCACAGAAACCATTAGACATACCCCCACCTCTCCCAACATCAACTCACCCAAGTCACTGTCTGTGCCAGATGAGATTGTCTGTACATCATCACTGTTTAAAGTTGGCACAGCATTGGTGGAGCCCTTCTGCAGGAGACCATTGGATGGTGGTGTAATACCGCCCCCTCCTGCCCGCTGAGTCCTGTTCACTCCAACGCTTCCTTGAAATTCACACTCAGAGCTGCTTGACAGAATCATAATCTCCTGCATCACGTCACATGGGCCAGAAATTGGAACTCTTAATTAACTTGCAGCATGTGAATTTCCAATGTGCGCACTCTGTGTGCATGCATTTTAAGAATGTAAGAGTTAATAAAATGTCAAAGAAGTTTAGTGGTGTGGTCCATGAAAAATGTGACAACATTCTAGCATACGTGATGAGACATTAATCTACAGCTGTGGTGACCTCTTGGCCTTGACAATAACTGTACAGTAGATTAATACAAATGCAATGTCATGAAAGCTTTCATCCTCATCAGAGTTTAATCATGTAAACATAATTGAGTTTTTAAATCTGGGAAACAAAGACAATTAAAATACAATTTCTCACATCATCTTTGGGATCCACTGCTCTGTAGCTGAGAAATACAAAAATACGTATTATTAGTCAGCTTTACAAAACATTTGTTCAAAAATTATATTAAACACAAAGTGAAAAAACAACATTCATCACCATTCACCACCATCGTATCATCTGTTTATAATCCACTGGCGGCCAATTATATTTTCTATTGTATATTGTAATTCCCATTAAGCGCATCAAAATTATGACCTCGTATATATTCCCACCTGCACTCTGGTCTTAAGATGCCATTTACTTATGATTTGTTACGCCCTTACGGAACCATCCCAATAAATAAACAAGCCAGCATAAGTCACTTCATCCTAAACAAACGTTTCAATGAGATGGCTATCAGTTACAAAGGCAAAGACAAAGCTCCCCCATATGGACTTAACAGACTGTAGGGGCAAGTGCTATTAAGCGAGAACCTATGAAGGCAGGCACGGCACACGAGGGGGTGAGTGGCCAACACCACGCCCGACCGCCTTTGTCTCCCCAGTGGTGATGTTTACACACCACCCCAGGTGCTCATTTGAGGCTGCATAGACCTAGAATCTGCCTAGGACCTGTTCAATAATGGTATTCAAATGTGACCTTAAAAATTAACCATTTACAAAGAGCCTTATTCAATTATGTTTATATTTTACCGTTTCCTGATTAACATTAAAATGTACTGCATCTTTCAAACACGTGTATTTTTTATAGGACAACAAATCTAATAACATGAACACAGAATGTTACAATAGATTACATGACTTAAATATATTTTCCCAGTGTTAATTATAATTATACAAATAATTTAACCAAAATGATGTTATTGTTATTATTATATCTAACAAGCCTAAATAATATCAGCAAGTGTTAAGGGGTTAGTGCAATTCGCTATAAACCTGGTGATCCGTTTAATTCCCAACCACAGCTAATATTAGTAACGTGCAATATCTGAACCAGTCCCGGCTCCTCTTCACCAACCCGCACTGACCAGAGTGGTGAAAAATGGTCAAACATCTACAATGGCTCAAAGGCATGGGTAGACCTTAATCCAGAAGTCGACTGACAAAGGTCTGTAATTATTATTGTATCTACATTATTAATGATGCAATGAATATACTTTCAGCAACGAGTTCACAATGCACTGTTTGATTTGGAAATTAGATTTATAACACCAAATACTTACTGTGGAGCAGAAAGTTGTTTCGGTTCGGCAGTCTGCCATCAGAGATGAAAAGCAATGTAATTAAAGAACACAGACAAACTGTAATTACAACATTAACAATGGTTAAATGACCCTTAAGGATTTTTGTTTATAATGACTCAAGAGTAACTCATATTTTCAGCAAACCCATACTCTCCTATCATCACAAAATCACGAGATTTGATAAAAAATCTGTTAAAGAACTAAACACCCATAGGGCACTGACCTTGCTGGAATCCTTGGTTAAGTCTTCAACATTTTTGAAGGAAGAACGACTGTCAGAGTCTTGCACTGTCAGAGCATCGAGTTGGTTGGCGCTTAGCCACGACGCTACCTACAGAAAAGAACACAACATACTCGAAATACATATTTAAATCTCACAACTATAAACAAGAAAGAAAATTAACAAAATATATTCAACGCCCAATTGTCGGTATATATCTCCGCACACAAATTAATCAATACCAATAATATTTGGAAATTAGTAGAACAAATTAGGTTGTTGCCATATCAGACAAAAGTTGGCAAGTGTTCTCTCTTTGCAAGTGACTTATTTTGCGTATGTAGAACAATGAAATAAAAAAAAAATATATCACGACATTTCGATTGCAACACAAGCGGTCGTCCTCAGGCGTGACTTTACCGAAAGAACCAAAGAGTATGGATTCCTGCAGTCACGAAAGCTTCAAATAAAGATTGACTTATTTTAGTTTGACGAAATCAACTGTTATACAACGTCTATGCATCTCACTTTCACCAACCCACCATTGACCAATGTGGTGAGGTATGGTTAAATAAACCCCATGATCCGGATGGAAGGGCCTCATCCAGCAGTGGGCTGACAAAACAGCTCAACATGGGCAGTGCAGCGTCAATCCACAGCATGCGTTCTCTTTAAGCAAAGGTGGTTATTGTAATATTTTACCCTGCCACCACTCGTCACATTGGCATGCCACTAAATGCAGCGCCGTGGTGGCGAGATGCTAACTCCCTCCCCTGGTATGCAGGATGTCGTGAGTTCGATCCTGACCCCGACACCTGTATATTTGGAGTTTACATTTTCTCCCCGCGGTGGCGTGGATTTTTCTCCGGGTCCTCCGGTTTTTTCCCTACACATTTAGAATCAACATGCGTTTAAGATTAAGTGCCCGCTATAAATGTCCACGTAACAAGTCGCTTTGTTAAGCTATCATTTGTGGCCAGGTTACTCCTGAAAAAAAGAGCGATATAGCTCAATGGGGGCCTTACCTGGTAATGTAAAAAAAAATTACTTGACACTGCACAATGTGGGCTCCCACCTTGTGCTTGGCCGTCTCCGAGTTCACAGGCGGCGTTGGAGGTGCGGGCGACGAGCTGCAAAATGGAGTTCCGTCCGAGCCGTCCGGCGGTGTGGTCGTGCTCTGCTTTTGCTTCTTCTGCAGCTTCCGCACAAATGCCATTGGGACGTTGCTGGAGCCACCGCTGCTGTTTCCACCAACCCGGTCGCGCTCACGGTCACGTTCTTTGTCACGGGCTGTTCGTATTGCCAAGACAATGGACAATTACATGTGTGTAGCCTCTTTATCAATACACTGCTGGGTGAGGGCCTTCTCATGCTGTGCAGCTCAAGGGGAACTGTTGGACAGTACTTCAGCACGCTGGTCATTGCGGATCAGTAAAGACAGGAGCAGCATAGATGCGGGGGCATATAAAGTATAGCACAATGGATTTTACTGCATTGCCCTCTGCTGTCTATCACGTGGCCTGGCAGCAGCCTACAGCCTGATGTGCACAATGGTCACAATCTATGCACTTTTCAGGCGAAACAGAAATTAGCTTCGAGATCTGACAGGATTGGGCGCATTCCTAGTCATTTTTCATAGGCATTACAGAAAATTTAAATAACAAATATATGAATCCGAGATTTATATTTCACATTCAAGTTTTCACAATAACATTTTTTTCATTACGATTGATGAGGTAGGCAGCTTGGGTAAATATTATTGAAGATATAAGGGTGAATCTTGATTTTAAGCTTTCGTGACTGCAGGAATCCACACTCTTTGGTTCTTTCGGTAAAGTCACGTAGATAGAAAAAACAATAGATCACGACGTTTCGATAGCCACATTAGCAATCGTCCTCAGGTGGGATAGAGAAACAGGCTGCTGAAACAAGTCCTTATATATATAGCCAAGAGGGGAGGAGGGGGGAGTGGCCGCATTGGGCAAGAGGGTGGGGGCTAGAGATTGTGCCTAAGCAAGTGGGTAATCCAAAGCAACAATATCATCACTAATTCGACTTCTCTAATCGAACCGACCAAGCAGCTCTCTCTAGACCACCCAGATTTCATGGCCTTCCAAAAATCCATAAAGATGGTACCCCACTCCGTCCTATCGTCTCCACCATTAACTCACCCACCTTAAAACTGGCCCGATTTCTATCTGAGACCCTGCTTCCTTTCACAGGCAAGACCACCTCAGCTGTACTTAACTCAGCTCACATGGCTTCTCTAATAAAGGACATCTCAATGTCTCCAGATGATTTGCTTCTCAGCTTCGATGTAGTCACCCTGTTCACCAAGGTACCTGTACCTGACACCATTGCAATCATTGAAAACTTAGTCCAACAGGGTCTGATTCCTGATGTACCAACTTTGGTGAAGCACTGCCTTACCAACACTTACTTTACCTGGAATGGTACATTCTACAAACAAAATGAGGGTACCCCAATGGGCTCTCCCTTATCGCCAGTGGTAGCAAATGTTTTCATGGAAAAATTTGAGACAGATGCCATCCAGACATCCACCCTACATCCCTCCTTGTGGAAGAGATACGTAGATGACACGTTCGTCATCTGGCCACAAGGCCTGTCAGCACTGAACCAATTTTTCAACCACATCAATTCCATACACCCATCTATCAAATTCACCATTGAAGTGGAAAATGATAGCAAGCTACGATTCCTGGATGTTTTGATCGAGAAGAGACCTGATGGCTCTTTGGGACACTGTCTACAGGAAAGCCACCCACATGGATTCCTATCTAAAGCCCGATTCACACCACCATCCAGCCCAGAAGAATTCCCTCATCAAAACACTACACCATAGGGCCCATTGCATCTCCGACCAGCCCCACCTACCCAGTGAACTGGAGCACATACGCCAAGCCCTCAAGATGAATGGATATTCGGCCCGCACAATCCGCAAAGCTGCATCCCCAACAATGGGTAGAGAACTATCTCTGAGGACCCAATCAAAACCATCACCTTGCCATACATAGCAGGGGTTACCAAAAAGATTTCCAAAATCTTGAACAAACACAAGATTCAGGTTCGATTCAACACAGTACACAAAATCCGTGACCTGATCCCATCTGTGAAAGATGTGATTCCTGACATGCAATACCCTGGTGTCTACAAACTAAGTGGGGAAACGAAACGACATGTCTCGGACCGTGTTCACGAACGCAAGGCAGATTTGAAACACGGCAGAACCAATACCTCTGCCGTAGCCGATCACTGCTTCAACGCTGTGGGCTCACACGACATTGTTTTTTTCCGAAACCAAGGTACTCTGCAAACCTTTGGGCTACCATCAAAGATTTGTTCATGCAACCATCCAGATATATAAACAGACATAACTTCAACCGAGAAGATGGGTACAAATTGAGCAATCACTGGATGGACGTTATTAACCAGGTAAAGCCTTAACTGGTTGTTGATGTTTCCATCCTACCTGCCATTGTCAGCAGTTATTTCCGACTCTGAGTTACATTACCAAGTTACATGTCTTTACATTAATGGGCTAAATGTCTCACTAACAAAGCCAATGTTGCCCCCTTTCCCTCGATGTGGTGGTGGCTCTCGTTTTTTAGCAGACTATAACTGGCTGTGATGTTGTTGTGTGTGTGCCTTTCTGTGTGTCTTTAGGTGTGTCTCTCGGTTTGTCTCTCTCTGTTTGTCTCCCTATATGTCTCTCTCTCGTGTCTCTATGTGTGTATGTGTTTCTCTCTCTCTGTGTGTCACTTTGTGTGTATGTCTCTCTCTCTTGGTATCTCTGTGTATCTGTGTGTCTCTCTCTCTCTGTGTGTGTCTCTCTCGGTCTGTATGTCTCTCTCTCTGTGCGTGGGTGTGCCTCTCGGTATGTGTGTCTCTCTCTCTCTCCTTCCCCTGATGTGGTGTCGTCTGTTTGTTCAACGAGCTGGATGTCTCACTAGCACAGCCACCGTTGCCGTTGGTTCGTTTACATTGACATGCTCATCTCTCACAATACAATGGCCACCTCCTCGGCCTTTCCTCCCCCCCCATCTCGGTTCGCATATTTGAATTTCCCACTCGCTTAGGCACAATCTCTAGCCCCCACCCTCTTGCCCGATGCGGCAACTCCCACCTCATGATCCATTATTTTTTCTACCTACGTGACTTTACCGAAAGAACCAGAGAGTATATGAGGGTGAATACGATAAATAGGGAAAATATTCAGGGATGGAGAGAACGGAAAAACACAACTCCAAAACAAGAAAAGTTAACGTTTAAAATTAAAAGTCAGCTTACACTTATAAGATGAGCGGAGAGAAGTGTTTAATACGGGCATGAATAAAGACAATCAAATATCATCATTAACAGCAATGAGTTCCACATTTGCAGTGATCAGCACGTTTAAGTACGATCAAATAACCCCAACTTGACCGACTTAGTATGGGGAACTACTCATCCAAAGTAGATTGACAAAAAGATGTAAGGCTGTATAAGCAAACAGGTTAGTTGCAAATGCTGATATATGAAACTCAAATTATGTTGCCGTATGCAAATATTGCACACTATAAGGCGAAATAGTTATCAAACTACTAATGGAGAGGCACTCGACTAATTTGGCAGCACTGAGCCGGTGGTTGAAAATCTTCATCCCAATGGATTTATACAGCATCATGGGATGCAGCTGCATTCATGCGCGATGTAAATTCATATTATATTGTGTAAAAGCTGTTAATCTCTCCCCGTGGGGATGACCCCGAGTTAATGTCACACAAAGCAAGGAGAGTAACAAATGCCTCTAATTTCGCAAACTAGAAAAAAGGCTTAGAAAAATTATGCTAGTTTTAGAAATTCTCAAACCTGTTGACCTCAGGTAGCCAGAAAATGGCATTACATCAATGAACCGTACAGACCTTTGAGTGTTAACTCATTATGTGGCGGTTTTCTTTAGGGACTTCAGTGTCATTCCACATGCAAAAAACTCAGTGGTAATGGTCAAATATCCCAATATCGGACCCTCCTGAAAATAAGTACAGAGACGAAGTGACAACTTCCTAAATAAATAGCATTAAGATTGAGTAGCAGTGTTTGACCAACGCTCGAGAGATTATGAGCTCTTCAACAAAAAAATAGGGTGTAAATATGATGTGATACGTGCTTAACATGTTGAATAAAGATTTTTAAACGAGTATGCAGTCGAGCTTGATAGCGATAGCCACAAGTAAACATCAGGACTGGTGGCAATGTGCTATGCAACATACCCCTGGGACTCCTGTACTCTGGGTGGTCGTTACTGCAGAAGCTCTCGCTGTCGTCACTGCCCTCCTCATCGTCGCCCCCCTTCACATTGACGCCGCTGCTTTCACTGGATGCCAGCGCCTCACTCTCGTACCTGCACACGCGAAGATGTCACCTCTCTGTGCTTGGGGGTGTCCAAACCTTAAGGCCATGACTCGCTCTGGCATATTTTGGGCAATCGCTTCCAGCAATCATCACCGGCAGCAGCACATTTAGTATAAGCTGCTGTGAACCTGGTATGGCAATGGCACAGAGCGATGGGATTTCTATTCGGTCAATGAAAACTGTTTGTAAAGTTTGATGAGCAATGTATTTTCTCTGCAAAGCACACAACCTAGTGTGTAATCATGTGCTCTGTTGCAAGTGGAAGTTACCATCTCCGTTACTGACTCGAGGAATGTTTTGTAATATAAAATGGTGGCAGAAATAACTGCCAGTGACAATTGATAGCAACTATTGAGGTCAAATTGACCTCGCTTTAATCTGCATTACATACTTTTTTTCCCACAAGCATTTTTTATCCAATACACAAGCTTTAAAATGAAGTGTCATTTTACATCTTGACATGTTTAAGCTTTGATCATATTTAAGATCACCATCTTTATTGACAAGCACTGCCTTGTGAAACTAAACGCGTGTAATAAGCTTACATTAGGGAAATGACCACTCCTCAAACACCATTGCCACGATTCTTTAGTCACTGTACTTAACATTAGTTTTGTATATATTTTTTTCAGTTTACAAGGCAACATTATTTATAAGCAAGTAAAAATTGATGGAACCCCGCTATATGTCCCTAACATCTCAAGTGGTATTTAATTACAAGACAGCACAAAATATTTAAGTTACACTGTTTTCCTGCTTTAATTAAAGGCAGCTGTACTCAAAATAGACGTAAACATTTGGTTATGAAGTTTAACCTCTGAAATCAAATTCAGTAGGATTTAGAAAGGCACTAAAATACCTTTGAGGCTAGGTATGAAATGTCTTTCCATGTCAAGATTCAAGACATGCAGTAATAAAAAGCAAACCTACATGTGTTGCAATATTTTGCAAGACTATAGTGGGCTGATATCTCTCTGATACGTTATTAGTACCGAAAACCAAAGCTATGCGTACCCATCCTTGTGTCGCTCCACACTCTCAATGTAGTCAAGGTTGGCAAAATACTCGTCACCCATCTCCAGCCCCTCTTTGTCAGCAGTGTCGTCTGTAAGGATCTTGCCTTCAAAGGACAATACAAAAATATTAATAACAATTCCTGGTTTTGCTCAGTTCATGCACCCAAATCCATTTCCAAGCAGTGAAATGTGACAATTTCACACCATACACTCTGATAAACAGCAAGGCAAAATAAAAATCTCTAAATTTGCACTACGTTGATCCGATTGTGGTATACGATTCATGTATTAAAAGGAAATTAAGCGGTAACAACCAATTCTTATTAAAAACCAAAAACAACCGATTGTCTTTCACACAGCAAATGTAAATAAAAAAAACACAACCATATATTCTCATGACAGGAAAAGGACTCGAGGAAATTGACAAATATATACCTGCATAGATGCAAACGTAGGATCCTTTGCTGATGTCATCCAAGCAGCGGATGCCCCAACCCTTGTTTTGAGTCTTAAAAAGCTGCAGCCGCACCTGCAGGCCATGCTGTACCAGGCGGTTCTGGCACATCCGCACGTTGCACTTGCACTGCTTGTTGCACTCATAAATCCTGACGCATAAAGGTACATAAGGGGGGGGGGTGTAACATTAAAGTGCAACTGTGCAGAGGTCTGCTATGCATCTGTCAGGGGCGCAAGGTGTTGCACATACGTACAAATCACTTGTGTGATAACACCGCACCTGCAAGTAGGCATAAAACATAACATTCCATGGCAGGGTGCTCATGCTTTATTACCCTGTTGGCAAGCACTCTTCAAGCCTCTTGTTGTGGTATCCAGCATCCGTGTTGGTCTGGCCTCCTGGGCTGCAGCCAGTTGCATCCACCGTGAGCTGCTGGCATGCACACTTGGACCTGATGCCAAAATAACAGGCGACAAGATCACCTGGCAAAGGGCACAGCTCTGATCTTGCCAAAAAATAACAGTGCAAGCAAATTAAATTATCTATTTAAACAAATATTTAACCAACAAGTTCAAGCAAGCAGACGCTTTGGATACAGCCAATATGATATTCCTAAAGCCAAACTAAACAATTTTCACATTAAATGTACTAGGCACTTGTGACAATGTACTCAATTAAAAGTCTGACCCTAAAAAGGCATGAAGGTAACAACACTCAGGAACCACAAATGTATAAATAAAACCCTCAGAACCAGATTTTAATGAACAATTGGACTCAGTGCTTGGACAATCTAAATGTAAGTGCTTTTGAATAATTCCTCGTACCTCATTTATTATTTTAAATGACCATAGGTTAAGTTACATTTAAAACGTTCTACTGCTTATTTTCATTTCTTTATGTTATGTAAAAGTAAACAGTTTGTTTTGTATTTGTTAATGTTGCTGCTGTATACCCTTTTCGATCTTTAACCAAATGTACGAGAGGCAGACCTCACTTAGCGCTCAAGATGCGTTCCTAGCGAAGTGAGCGCTCATCGAATTAGCGGTGGGAGACGAAGTAGGAGCCGCTGCGCTCCCAATCCGGGTCACTCAGGGAAGGGTTCCAGGACTTCTGTGATCTTAGTGATGCCCTTAGTCTAAATTTCTGTCATGAGGTTTATTTTGGGTGGAGCCTGAGACTACTCTGGTCTCATGAATTTTCACGTGTATTGTAATTACGTTGAAAATCATTATTTTTTTGTATGTAATCATGACTACGAATCGTGATAATCGTATCGCAGGGGGTGAGGTCTGGTTGGCTCTGAGCATACGTTACTCTCATTGGCTGAGCGAACGATGGGAATGGGTGCGTTTCCTCGGCCAGCACTGCTGCGTGCTCTCACTCATAAGCACTGAATAGATTTGCTTTAACATTTTGAAAAATGTTCACCAGGACAAAGAGCGCTATTACGAATCACGCATTCTACAGGGTTGCGCTAAGCGAGGTCTGCCTGCATATTGTTTTGTGACATAGGTCTCCCTTGATAGACTTCGTCTCAATGTCCTCTTGACTGGCTTTAAGTAAATGCAAAATGTGATTGAAAATGTAAATCAATTGATATCTTAAATAGACAAATAGAGACAGGGTAAGGCCTAGACAATGATGGTATATGAAACCGCCATGCAAAGCAGGTATTATAGGCTATGGGGCTAAGTGGTAGGCAGCAGAGGGAAGTGCTGCAAAATCCATTGTTATACTGGACTTGTATGCTCCTCGCCTTCACTAACCCGCAGTGACCAGCATGGTTAATGGTCCAACTAACCCCATGACAAGTATGGCATGCGCAGGCCCCCATCCAGCAAGCAACTGACAAAGGGGCTACCAAGCAGTAGGGCATCGGTCGTCATTTTTTGCAGAGGTTTTGTGGTTCAAAGCCAGCAACTTCCCTGGTTGATATGGTGGGTGTGTAAATAGCACCCTCCCCTCCTCTACTTCACTATGGATTTTAAAGAAGCCCATAACGTTATTAGAAAATTAGTAAGCTAAGTTTGCAGACGTCACAGTCCACATTTGCAAAATATGAAAATGACTTGTAAATTATCAATCGTGGACAAACCACACAGCAACACCACACTATGCACAAATAATGTGATTTGAAAGGGCTGTTCATGCATGCACGTTTCAGTCACTAATTGTTTGCACAATGCAACAACAACAAGTGTGTAGTGTGGGGGGGTACTCACTTGTCTTGACAGCCGTCGGTGCAGCTGCAGCACACGAGGAACTCGGGGCTCGTGTTGATGAAGACTCCATGCTCGGGGATGCGCACTTTGCTGTACGCGGCGTCCGGCGGCGGCTCCGAATCGATCTCATTCACGCACGACACGGGCACATCCTCCACGCCGTTGGTGATGTCGCGAACGCAGTACAGCGGCTTCACGGTGCTGATGCGCCGCTCTGCCATCACGTACGGGTCGAAGCAAAACTGCTCCAGGAAAAGGAAGTTGGCGTACGTCTCGAACAGGTAGCGCTGTACCTCCATCATGCAGCGCAGGCTGCGGCCACATGGCGCCCTGTACATCATGTGGAACGGTGCCTGTGTAAAAAAATAAGGCAGACAGGTAGCTAACAAGTGCAGCTCTTTGCAATAACAGCGACGCAGTCTTACAAATACATGGATCATACTATTTAATATATATATACAATTGGCAGTAAATAAGCCAACAAGTAACTGTTAGTGGAGGAAATAACGGAGGATGAGTAACTGCAAAATTGCATTCCAAACCTTGCGGTTGATCTTCCGGCGAGCGCTGAGTCGCCTAAAGTCATAAAGGAGTGGAACTAGGAGTGGGTTCCTGCCCTTGTACTTGTCTAGGTTGGCTGGCCGTAAACTCCTCAAGCAGCTCTGGCTACATGCGTGTGGAACGTACAACAGCTTCTCTTTCGGTGCCTTGTATATTGGGTATGTTGCCAGAGACTGAAGGAGACATGAATAAAAGGAAACCACGACATCAGTGAAGCTGTACTTTTAACCCCTAATCCAGAATACAGTAAACCCTCAATATTTGCGGGCTGTCTAATCAGGGTTTGACACAAATTTATTTTCATGCTATTAGATTTTCTTCAGGGTTGTATATTAAATGTTCGCGGCCATAGCATGCTACTACCCCGGCAAGAAGTGGTGACGCATGGGAGCGATGGAGATCGCGAGAGCACAAAAGCTGCCCCACGCATCACTGCTCTCCCTTTCCATCTGCCTTTGTCTGCCGCAAATGCTCTTGATACTTGCATTGTATTTGTACTGTTTGCCTTTTGGCGTTCTCTGGTCTGATACTGGTGAGACAAGGCCATAAAAAAGGCTGTCTCTGGTGTAGGCCTATCAGTTATAAAAAAACAATACATATATTATCAGAGCATGTCTGTTTGCATGTTTTACCATAAGTACACATGGTTAATGCAGACCCGATTCCTTTCAAAAGGAATCTATTTGGTGTTTAACCATCTTAACACCTATTTTATTGAAAGAAAGAGTGAAACCTATTATTTTTTATACGAGATATTACTGTACAATATATGTATTCATTCAAATATAGTTTATATGTTGACGTTTAAACATAATGTTATACCCCCTAACGCCTTTTTTATTATTAGCTTTAAGTATTAATATTTATTTATTAAAAATTCCCACCGTTCTCCATTAACGTGTCCCCGCGAATACTGAAGCACATACACATTCATATACTTACGTAACACACACATTTCAGGTTTCAAGTAATATAAACATGTACAGTACAAGCCTTTTGTCAATCCAATGCGCGGCGAGGGCCTTGACGCACCATGTGAGTCGTGGGAGTTGTTAGACCATGCTTAATCTTAACTGCCCTCTGCTGCCCACAACGTAGCCCCACAGTAGCCTATGAAACCTGTTATGTACAGTAGTTACCAATCCAACACTATCCAAGCACACTTTGGTCCCAAGATCAGGTGCGCTACAGGGCATTTCAAGTAATATACATTTTAGCTTATAGTTAACGAAACAAAAAATACTCACTTCCATTTTGCTATTGGTGGGCATGTACATCTGCGACTCTCCCACATTATGTGAGATGTCTTCCTGCTCGTACTCGGAATGCCCGCGAACAACACGCTCCCCTACCGAGCTACGGGCAGGAGTTCCTGTTAAATCCACTGGGCTGCAAAATATGAGAACGGCCTTAGAACGATACATCTGAAGTCATTTGTTTTAACAGGCAGGCAGAGTGCAACATGAGCTCCCAAGTAACGATTTACTCCCCGCACCAACTCGCGATTATGAATCTTTACAAGTCTTGGTTGTGGGTAAATTCAAAAGTAGTGTTTTTTTTTAATTGTGGTGAATGTAGCACAAGTGGTTCCCAGGGTCATTTGACTTAAATACATAACATATATACATTAATTTATTAATAAACTGAATGACAGCCTCCCCGTGCCATGTCGGTTTGTAAAATACTTCCACAACATGCTGGTCAGTTATAGTTGGGCTTTAAGAACTGTTCAGATATCATTCACCACTGATGTTAGCTGTGGCCTAGAGTCAAAATCAGGTCACCATGTTCACAATCCATTGCATTAATCATTGTATCACTGCTCCTCCCACATACAATAGAAAAACATATATTCTTTACATGCATGTATCATAAAAGTAAAAACCGATTTAAAATCTGACTCAATATTTTGATAGCTATGGTCACAGATGCACAGATGCACAGATGCGAGTAACTCACCGTGGCATGTAGCTGTAGTTTGTGGCAGGCCAGGTGATATCGGAGTCAGTAATTCTGGTGGATGTGGTCACCTGGCGGAAGGTAGTGCTTTTCTTGGCCACCTGCTTACGGTTGGCCGAGTTCAAAGACGATTCAGAATGGCTGGAGCTATAAGAAAAATCAAACAGAGCAATCATGACAGGTATTTAACGATTGCATAATTACAATGTATTATGTTGCATAATTGCAATGTTATAATTAGATTCAGTTAAAAAAATTGTAACCGGTAGCAACCAATAAGAACTGTATTAGCGCACCTCTGCCTGCTCAAGGTAGGCTTTCCATACGGTTGGAAACCGCCACTCTGTGACATCTGGGCACCGGGTTGAAGCACTGCAGAGCTGCTGGGACTTGGGGGGAACTGGGCTGAAGGGCTGGGCATTGAAAAATTAAAATTCGTGGAAGATGGGAATAAAGGTCGTCCTAGTTTCTGTGGAGGACTTGTTTTGTCCATTGGAGGTATCCACGTTTGTGTATCCTGTATTGCGAACTGGGAGCTCAGCGACACCGTATGAGATATGAAAGGTGCCTGGATTGGGGAACCCAAAGCACTAGCTGGAGTTTGGGGTTTGGTGTGCTGCTGGGGCTCCTGCTGAGGGTACTGAACAACAGGACCACCCTTGTTTCGTCCAGCTGCAACAAAAAAAGCAATGCATTAATCATGTGCATAGTTACAAATCTAGCTCAACATTCAATGCTGTAATTACACCAACAGTCATTATTTTGGAATGGCTTTGGTGGCCAGTGAAATTTCTGGGACTGACCAGTAGTGGGTCTCATCCGTTGTCCGGGTTTCTTTTCAGTGTGGTAGTGTTTAAGGGTATGCATGGGCTCCAACCTTGTGGAGCCTCTGTAGATCCATTCGCAGCGCTCATCAATCTAGAAAGTAATGGCACGCACTTGAGAGTTTCTGTCAAGTATTTTCACGTTCAATCTTCATCGCACATAGACATTTAAGATATTTAAAAATAAAAAGGAAAGGCTGAACTGGACAATGTAAATATGAGAACATCAAAACTCCAAATATACAGGTTGGGATCGAATTCACGACCTCCTGCATACCAGGCGAGGGAGTTAACATCTCGACACCATGGCACCTCACGCCGCTTTCATGATCCACACCGCTGTCATGCATCCGTACAGTACAACTTGTCAGGTATTTACAGCCGTGAATAATTGAAACACAACCCCGCGAATTTCCAATAACTCCAATAAATTTGCCGTGAATACGCAAAACTGCAATTATAAAAACCCCACGAATATTGAGAGTCGACTGTACATGATAAAATATATATCACAATGCTAATCACTTAATATTAGCAAACAGAAGAGCAGTGGTGCAGTGGTTATAGCACTGCGCTATAAACCGGCCGAAGTTTGATTTCCCAGATACAGCTAATACAGTACAGATGACAAGTAAAACCACCTGAACCGTTCCTCGGCCCACCCCTCACCAGCAATCTCATTAACCAGTCAGGTAAAGTACGGTAAAACCATATCCATGGCATAAGCGAGGTCTTCAAGCTTGCAATTCTCACCAGGAATACGATTTTAACGAGGCTGCCATCAACCTCTTCAATACGAGACTTCCACCACGTGCCCTCCCACTCTGTCTTGATGTTCTGTCCAGGCTTCAGGAGAACCATGGGGCGGTTTGGGTATGACTTGATGTAATCCTCCATAAATTCCCTGCTCGCACGATCATCCACGTCTTCCCAACTGTTGGTTACTACATGTGAAATGCAAGATTCATTATCGCAACACCACAAAACAAGAAAAAACGTACAATCATCTCGGAAATCACCAGTCAACAATGCGATAGAGATGATACTTTTAAGTTGTAAGAATGACATGTGATAAAGGTTGATGCAGAGGCATATAGAAAGATAATGTTAGTGTTGATTGTCAAGCATGATAGAACTTACATTGTCTACATACTTCGTATAATTCTAAAAGTGTGACGTAGCTTGCATATCCATCATCGAAGAAAATGAGAAACCTGTGACAATGTGCGAATATAGAATCAAACTTCACATCCAGAAAATGCACAAACATTGCTAATTATTGATTGTATTGAAGATTTGCATTGTTTAGATTGGAGAGTTCTAAAATATTTACACATTAAACAGTCCAATTCACCATTAATTCCATTGATATCACATCAAGAGTTTATGTTTAACAATAAACAAAACTTGTGCTCATCCCCTTTTGCTTATTGATTCTGCTGACATTTATAAAACAATGTCACTGGACGCAAAATGAAAAAAACTGAAATCTGGTGTTCCATCCACAAAAAACCTGCCTGTCGTGCTGTGCAGTCTAGTCAATTCCAAGTCTATGTGCACTGTCAATAATAGATCCAACCAATGCTGTGATTAGCTTGCAAAACAGAACGTCACTCGTTACTTTGCAAACGTTAAATGTATACTGTATTACGTTTCATAACAATATTATTACAATCACATCTCCCAGAGTAACGGGTAACAATTTGCCCCCTCACAATTCAATCAATTGTTGTAATTAAGGGAAGTTGTGAATGAACACTCACCACTTTTTTAACAGTGCTGAAAATAACTTCAAGTGGTTGGGAGGAATCACGCATTGTATACAATATACACAACTTGGAAAAAAAACATTTAGATTCTAAGACACGTGATTTGATGCATTCGTTGTACACTTACAAACTCTTTGAATAATAAATGCAATATTCCACCGCTTGCCAACAGCAGAGGTATTCCAGCATCACCATTGTTAACCATGAAAAACACAAGCCGATTCATTATAATTACCTGTACTTGTTGGTTCTGTGTGGCGTCTCGGCTACAATGCCCGCGTACAGCCACACCGAGCTGCCGTCTTTGTATTTTGCCACAACTCTACTGCCGACAACAAGGCTCTCGGATTCCGGATGACGATCGTATGCTATGTGGTTTCCTGACAGCAGGCTCTTCCCCTTGCTGTCAAATTTAACTTTGTACTTGAAGCCGCTGGCTTCTCGCATTGACATAAAGCAAACAAAAAAAGTGATTAACAATAAATCAAGCACAATTCATGCAAAACGAATGACACATTTTTAAGTGCTTTTTTCAGTTGCAGTTAATCAAACTGAAGTGTTGGGATAGATACCGGATGAGACGATGGCTACAAGAATGCCACGGTGCCATGTCTTTGTCCGCTTCTTGCCAAGGACGCGCATGCCCAGCAAAATCTCATCACCAACTGCCGTGGGCTGCCCAGACTCGAAGCGCTGCTCTGGTCGGACGCTGCCAGCTTCGTTATCTGCTCCGGGCTCCGTGGGCGATGAAGGCTGAGACTGGCTCCCCGTCAAGGAAGCGGCACTGTTTACCTCGAGTTGAGTGTCGGCATTAGCTGAAAACAAAACCAACAAAAACATCTGCCCTTTAAGAAATGGAATGACATCACAAGTGAAAAGATTGCAAGTGGACATTCGATTGAATTTACCATGTGAAGAATGACCAATCATCTGCCATGGTGTAGTACTGTTTAGCGCAATGGACTTGCAAAATAGTGGTCGTCAATTTAACACGTAGGCTTTCGTGACCAATTTCATCCATAATCAAGGATTTTTTTGGGTTAGATCACGTAAATATGTGTCGTTAAAACCCGCCACCACCCGACACAGCCAACTAGTAAGGGTTGTCACATAAACAGAACATGCCAATTCGTCACTAGTACAGCACACTGGTGTGTTGGAGAGCCAAGCCACAACAATCACAATCTGAGTACGACGTTTTGCCAGTAATTACAACGAGCTTCATCAGGCGACAGCCAGTTTCCTGGAGAAGTCCACCTGTTTCGTTCCTTATAGAAGCGTTGATGTGGTGATCACACTGCTGCGCTCTTGCGCAAAGTGGGGGGGGGGATTAATGAGCCAATGTACATTATGCATGCACATTATACGAGCCCTTGGAACTTGTCATTCTTGTCCAATGTGTGTATTAAAATAGCCGTACCAACGGTAATCCCTATTGAAGTATGGTGCCTTGTATAGGCATGCATTTAAACAATGTATTATTTGAGGATTCGCTTCCACGCAGCACTAAGTCAGTAGCTATCCGAACGGGTGGTGGCGGGTTTCAACGACACATTTATATATATACGCGATCTAACCCAAAAAAAAACCTCTATTATAGTGGTCGTCAGTTCGATATCCCGGCATAGCAGTTGAAACACTGGGCAACTTAAAAAAAATCCCCCTTGCCTCTGTCCACCCAAGCAGTATGGATCCCCTTTGCCTCTATCCACCCAAGCAGTATGAATGGGTACACAATACATTGGCAAGTCAGGGAAACGTAGTCTGTATATCTCCAAGTGCGTCGATTTTGCTCAAGCAATAGCTTGAGCAAGTTATTGCTGGGCTGTTACTTAACCTTTCAACCAACATCAAAAATAATGGTATATTTAATATACTATGCAATGAAGAGTATGATGAAGTATGGTCAGACATGGTATGGAGAGGATTTCATCCAAAAGTTGATTGATGAAGAGCTCTAAAAAGCATATGTACCTTTTTTTTGCCTGGAATCTCGCCACATGGAAGAATGGGCACCTTCTTTGACATGCATTTCCTTTAGAGTGGAGAGGCAACATTGTACCTCCTTTAAAGAATCTGCAATTACCATTATAATGCCTTTCACCTGTGAAAATATTCCAAACGTTACAACTGTAGTTAAGAGCTCACAAATATCATTTTTTTCATAAATGTACAAAAAGATAATTGCATCAAGTAATGTTAATTAATATCATACAACTCACTGCAGAAAGCAACTGAATGTTGACTGTGGAACTGAAAAATAAGGTTACACGATTACAATATATTTTAATTACACATTGGTTCATTTACGAAAAATACTAAATTACTATATACACGCTTTGTCACAAAACACGACTTTACTGATTAATGACTGAGCATTTTAATTGCCGACAAATAGTGCACAATGTTTCACATGATATGCATTTATGCATATCTAAGGGAATAACAAAGTAAATACCTCCTCTTCATTCAGATCCTTGATAGTTTTGCTCCGATTGGAGTCTTTAACATTTGAGCCTCCTGTATACAAAACCGTACATAAAGAAAATACTATTAATCTTCTTTGGTTCTTTCGGTAAAGTCACGCAGAATGAGAATAAAATAATAAATTTATAAAATAAAATAACACAATAATATTCTCACGACGTTTCGGCCACAACACAAGCGGCCTTCATCAGGTGAAGGGGGCAAGACTGTCTGGTAGGACAGCGCTGGAGTGAGAGAGCCACGTTCAGATCACGGCTTTTAAGCCTTGATCTGAACGTGGCTCTCTCACCTTGATCGTGGCTCTCTCAGCCTTGATCTGAACGTGGCTCTCTCACTCCAGCGCTGTCCTACCAGAGAGTCTCGCCCCCTTCACCTGATGAAGGCCGCTTGTGTTGTGGCCGAAACGTCGTGAGAATATTATTGTGTTATTTTATTTTATCAATTTATTATTTTATTCTCATTCTACGTGACTTTACCGAAAGAACCAAAGAAGATGAATCATTGCAGTCACGAAAGCTTTAAATCGAAAAATACTATTAAGTCTGTACATTGCAGCATCTTTCACGTTCATGCCATTATTAGCACAACCTAAAAAAAAATCTATTTGTTTAAACTGAAAGTTCCATTTATCCAGTGACCCAGCTAGTCTGCAAGGCAGATCCGTGGTGCATCTGCACAGAACATTGAAGTGCGAGAGGAAAAGGCAAAATCACAACAAAACGCGTCAGAGGAACAGGCAAAAATAATGCGTAAAGAACAAAAACTATAGATAGTAACAAAATAAACATGCATGCAGTGACCAACCTGTTTCACTGTTAGCCTCAGCATTCTCATCCTCATCATCCAGGATTTCAATGACGTCATTCGATGGCTCTTTGCCAGTCGTGGTAGCGATTTCAATGGCAGCATCAGCAAGGGATTCCACTTCGTCAAAATTAAGCCCTAGTTTTATATACAGCTCTCTCACTTGTCCTTGTATATGGTCCACAGTCCTAAAGATCAAATTATATGTCATAGAAAGCAGTCGACATTAAGATGTAATATGTATATTAAAAGTATGTATATTGGTGCAATGGGGCTTCCTGTTGGATCACACTCATAAAACTGTCCAACAGTCAGCCAAGTTTGATGCCAGAAGTACTCATACCTACCTGTCAACCCATTATCAATGGCTTCCTTATCACAGACCAATTCAGACCTTACTGGTCACCCCGTGCCCTTGTAAATCTCAACGTTCATCCTACAGTTTCATCACAACGGAGAACCACAAACCAAGACAAAAAAATGTGGCCGTATTGAAACGGCTGTACACCGTATGGACCTGAAAACTCAATTTCCCTGGACAAGAATACGGGTAAACCATATGGATTGACAGGTATGAGTACTCATCTGCCAACGCACTGTCCAACATACAATGGTGAGCATCCATTAAGCGTAGGCATGCAAAAGGCATGTGGCCTCCAAGTTCTGATCAAGCAAAGGGAGGGGAGCAGCCCTGGATGAAAGAACACACAATTCAACGCTATTCTTACATTTTAAAGCCACTGTAGATGTGGTCAATGTTAGCCACCTTCTCCTCTCGCTGGGCCAGCAAAAGTTGCACCTCCTGGAACGTCGTGCATTGCTTGTGGAAATCTGCGTATTCCGCAAGGTGTTTCTCCACGAGTAACTCCATCTCCTCCACAGACACCACAAGGTCCTCCCCTAACCCGTTGTCGGGATCATCTTCCGTCTCTGCCCCCCTCTCGCCATTTTGAGTCCCTGCTGCGGCTTCTGCAGCTTCGTCGGCGTTATCATCCCCAATCCTCTCACATATGTCACTTTTTGCTGACATCGATTGTTCCTCCACTTGCATGGGACTGCCATGAGGAACGTCACCAATTTCAGGGGTGCAAGGGCTTGCGTTCATGTTCGGCTGCGAACTCTCAGCTTGAGGTTCAGCCAACGGCATCTCCGTATCCTCACCCTTGCCAGCCATTTTCAACGCTTCTTCCATGACATCCTTAGCAGTCTCGTCCTCCAAGGCCATGGTAAAGTTTACCAACAACCTGCTTCACAACATGCAAATGAAGAGATCCCAACGGAACACACAAAACAAACGTGTGCACGTTGGTTCAACGTATACTCATGGCACCCTTAGAGCACACCATCTGCATACACAAACGGCTTAACCCAATATTTTCACAATCACGTCTAAGAAATCATCGCCGAGGAACAAAACAATACGCCAACTTTCCCAGAGGACTTTCCTGGCGTAAGTCGAAATGTTGCCCTTTCTGGACAAGTCTCTCTTTGTTCCAAAACAAATGGTAACCAAAAACACATTTGTTTTGCTTTGGATCAGCGTCCAATGGCAAAACACTCGGTTTCCCTTCTACATAACGGAAATAAAACGCATAACAGCAAATACATACGTGTAGTTACGTTTATACTGATGAAATTGGAATTGCAAACAGGAGTGCACGACAATGTAGTAGTTTATTGTCCTCTTGGCTATGTTGTCAGCGAGCTGAATGTCTCCTGAAACCATCATCGCAGGTAGCGCATTGTCCTGCAATGTTGCAGTTTCATCTCACGCCTACGTATGAACAGACTGCATCGGTACATTGGTAATTTAGCTATACGCATAGGCTCGACTATTTACGCCGAGTTCCAGCTTTATGTCCTTTCTGCGTAATTAGAATGCAGCCGCTCGGTCATGACACGTGTGTTAAATTAGACACATTAGGTACACGTGCACATACAGATTGGGCATTCTCTAAACAAACACGTGTACATCACATGAATAAATACCACGCGTACTTATCCCACAACGTAGATAAACCGCAATTCGCCACCAAGCGGTGAAGTCACCACAGCGCTTGTGCCAGGCTATGTGCACTTCAAGGCCACGTACAGACACATAGTCACACAGTACAATACTAAATATATAATCGTGCAAAATACATTCTATCCTCCTAGCTGGATTCACTGAATTGAACACCATCCCACGCAACGCCTGTCGATAATGGGACATCGGTCACAAATAACAACACGCATTTTTGCAACACTACAGCGCCGATCTGAGTGGCACAAATGATTTAATTTTCACGTTGCCGAGGGGGAGGAGGGGCGAGAAGGCCCGAGGTCACCGCGCGGGGCTTTCCTAGAATCCCTACCGAGAACGGAAGACCTGAAGAGGCCGGGTCGGGTCGGGCCGGGCCAACAAACCTTCTTTCGGGCTAAATCAAAGCCGGGGGGGGGGGCGGTCGTTACGACGCTAAAGAACCGTCTCGTAACACATTCCCGCCCCCTCCTCCTCCCGCGCTAACCTTGCGTGCTACGATGATAAATAACAAAGAACACGAAACGAGAATTCCCGAGCGCGTACAACAGAATACCGCGGCCTGGGGTTTCCCGCCTTTGTTCGGCCCTTTCGCCGAACACGTTCACAAATCGTACAACGGATAGGAGAGACCCTCGCCGGGGTTGACGCGCGATTGGAAAGATGTAGCACGAGCCGAAACTCTGAACCAATCATGAGCGGCGCCAGAGGAATTCGCTGTCTATGCGCCGTATGGAATGCAAAGGTAGCTTGGACCCCGCCCCCTCTGTAGACCCCGCCTCCTCTGTAGACCCGCCCCTCGCATGGGACCGTAATCGGGAATGTAGAAATTGAGAAATTGTCGAGCGCTCGATAAAAAAATCTTCCTTAATATTGTACTGCCGATTATCAACAAAATACTCATCATTAGCGTCGTGGTCGAGAATATAAATAACAAAATAGATACGTGGACAATTTGTCTCATTCACATACTTGTCTCTCCACGTATTTTTTTTTAAACAAAACGAATCGTCAATACGGTCTTCTGGAAATGTATTTATTATGCATACTATAATCACCCAGGAATGTCTGTCCTTAACGCTCGTGACGTCACTCCAAATTGACCAGCCTCCCTAATTAATATTCATGAGCAGGTGACGTCCTCCAAATGGACCCCCCACCCCTTCTCATGAATAATTAGCGGGTGACGTCACTCAATTTGGAGTACTTCCCCCTCACTAATAATCATGCGCAAGTGACGTCACTCCACATGGACCCTCCATTAATAATCATGAGCAGGTGACGTCCTCCAAATGGCCACCCCCCTCATTATTATTACCAATATATGAGCCAAGAATGTCTGTGTGCAACGCTCGTGACGTCACTCCACGTCGACCAGCCCCCCTCATTAATAATCATGAACAGTCACGTAGAAGGGAAACAATAAAATCATAAAAATATTAAACAATAAAATTATCACCACGTTTCGACTGCAACACAAGTAATCATCATCAGGTGTGAAAACCACAGCAAGACATTTTGAAAAAAGTGGCTGTTTTTTAACGTTAGCACCACGGAGAGCGATTTGGCAGTTATTCAGATGGACGAGTCCATCTTTGTTTAGAAAAGAGGGGGGGGGAGACAAAAATAATGGATGCGGTTTGAAAGCCACCATAAGCGTGAACAATCAATTAAGACCCTAAATGGTTTATCAAATCCTTCCAATGATTGCTAAGCCAGAATCCATCTTCTCAGTTGAAATTGTCACTGTGTTTATATATGTGGATAGCCTCATGAACGAATCTCTCATGGTAGCCAGATGGCTTGCAAAGAACCTCTGTCTTGGAGAAGTCAATGTCATGTGAGCCTACTGAATTATAACAGTGATCTGCCACGGCCGAGGTGTTGGTCCTACCGTATTTTAGGTCTGCTTTGTGTTCACGAATGCGGTCCGAGACGTGACATTTGGTTTCTCCAATGTAACTACTACCACAGAGGCAACTTAGTTTGTAGACGCCAGGGTACTGTATGTCCGAAATCACATCTTTTACAGACAGAACCAGATCACGGATTTTATGTAATGTGTTGAATCGTACCTGGATCTTGTGTTTATTCAAGATTTTGGAGATCTTTTTGTGATCACTCCAAATGTAGGGTAAAGTGATGGTTTTGAAAGTCCCCTCAAGAGGGTCCTTCTTCATGGTTGGAGTGATAGCTTTGCGGATTGTGTAGTCGGAGTAACCATTAGCCTTAAGAGCTTGGTGTATGTACTTGAGTTCACTGGCTATGTGTTCCTGGTCGGATATGCATTGGGCTCTATGGTGCAGAGTCTTGATGAGGGAATTCTTCTGGGATGGATGGTGGTGGGAATCCGGTTTCAGGTAAGCATCCGTATGGGTAGCTTTCCTGTAGACAGAGTGGCTCATTGAACCATCAGGTCTCTTTTTTATTAGGACATCCAAAAAAGGTAGCTTGCCATCTTTTTCGACTTCCATGGTAAATTTGGCCACATGGCCGGCCTGCTCTAGACCAATTCCTCGACCACATCAGTTCCATTTATTGAGACATAGAAGTCAAAAGGACGTCATGATGAAGAAGGGATTATAACCTTTAAATTAAATAGGCCCTTGCAAATTGCACACACATTAATGCAATGAATATGACGTCGCGGTCTGCTTTTTGCTTGCAAGTTTCAGATTGGCTACAATACACCCGTCCTTGGACGGGCAAAAGGCTAGTATGCTATATTATTTAATGTAATTTGTTTTGCTCTGCTGAAACTGACCCAGAGCTTGCTTGTACTGAAGCAATATTTACTGAAATTATGCAGGTTTAAGTATATTTTTGTTAAACCAGGTGCCAAAGTGACTTGGGTCACCAAAATGGCAAAAGAAAAGCTAATTTTATGAAATAGACACTGATTCTGGCAAAAAGACACAGTGTGTCGAAACCATTCTCCAATAGTTGAATCGATGCTGCTTAAATCGGCCATTGGGCCGATGTGTTGTGTAAACAATATATTTGTTTATGTGCAGTCAGATATAATGGTGGAGACATTTTCTGCGTATATATCCTGACTATAAGACGCACTGGAGAATAAGATGCACCCCCAATTTGTGTTTCAAAACACCGGTATTAGGCTTGGAAGATGTTAATAAATTAAACGTCAATGAAATTGATTACGCTGTTGAAACCTGTGTATGTGTAGTGGAGTAAACGATACGCATAGGAATTGGCCACATACAGTACATACAGACATACAAGGAGAGTGGATCACATGAGGTCGAACAGGTGGTCGAGTCACGGGTGGCGTAAACAACCCGAAGTAAGTAAGGGAGTCGTGGCACGAGGGCTGTGATTGGTCAAGAGGCTGTTCCCGCCAGCCCGCCAGGTGCGGGCTGGCGGGAAAATGCCAGCGAGCCACGTGGCAATGAATTAAGTCTAATTGGAAAGGGGATAAAACGCTAGGTGATTTGAACGGAGGGGGAGTTGTTGCTGGGCAGTTGTTGGCGAGAGGTAGAGAGATACGAGAGGACAGCTGGCAATGTTAGGGAAGAATAGATTGAGAGCCGAACCCAAAAGACAGTAAATAGCAATAGGGAGAGTTAGCGTTAGCGGAGAGGTAGTTACAGAGGAGATAGGTACAGGGAGAGTTACAGATAGTCACTGTGCGTGCGGAGATAGATAGAGTCACTGTGTGTGGATAGACAGGCAAGTCACTGTGTGTGCGGAGATAGATAGAGTCACTGTGTGTGCGGAGATAGATAGAGTCACTGTGTGTGAATGGATAGATAGAGTCACTGTGTGTAAATAGACAGACAGGTCACTGTGTGTGCGGAGATAGAGGAAGTCACTGCTTGTGAAGAGATAGCGGCGACACTGTGTGTGAGGAGATAGAGGAAGAACCACTGTGTGTGGAAGAGGATGCGCGGACGATGCTGAGGTGAATCGGAGTGTCCGAGTTGGCGGAGCGCGAAGAGGAGAATTACTGTGTGTACGGAACGATGGAATAAAAGAGAGGTGGAAGAAAGACGGTTCTCGTCCGAGTGAATTCACGGCACTACATATGTGTAAGGGGCCGTCCATAAATGACGTCACGCACCTAGGGTGGGGGGGGGGTCAGACATTTGTGACGATGTGTGAGGAGGGGCGGGGGGGTTGAGAAATGTGACGTAACATCAAAATGTGCAACTTTAAATACATATAGACAACACGTTCTACTTAATTAAATATACTTTATAATAAATGTTTTCTCCTACAACATCAGAGTGCAGCGCCACATTAAATACGCACTACAATGACAATAGTTTAAAGCGATTTGAAGCATGTTTTATTTTGGGGGTTTGGGCAGAGCTTTGTGACGTCATATTTGAGGGGGGGTCTGACTTTTTGTGACGCCGTGTGACGGCAGGGGGGGGGTCAAAAATCGTCCAAAATCGCGTGACGTCATTTATGGACGGCCCCTAAGTAGTGCGTGTGTAGAGTAACGTTTACGCAGTGCGCGCAGTTGAGCGGGTGCAATCGAGGACGAGCAGGTGTGCGCGTTGGGGCAGGAGGTTGGCGCCGGAGAGACGGGAGATGGGGGCGATGATTAGGAATTAATGAGTGCGAGAGGCGCCGTGGAGGCGACAGCTCAAGTGGGGAGCACGTGAGGACTCGGAATGAGGAGGGGTTTTTAAGCGGGAGTCTGCGTGAGCAAAGTGGAGTAGTTCGGGGACCAAGAGAGAAGAAGACATCTCGCCACTGCCGCTCGAGCCGTCAACGGGACCTCGCCCCCTCACGCCGTCGCCGGGCGGGTGTTGGCTGAACCCCCGCGCCTGGGACAGATGGATGAGTGGGTACGGGGCAGCGTACGAGAGGGCAGCGGCGAGATATGAGAGAGTAGGTGAGGTGCAGAATAGATGTGAGCGGGTAGTAGGAGAAGCAGAGTCTGTGTGGTGACAGTGGAAGGCAGTCATAGGAGTGCTGACAACGGGTACGAGAGTAGGATTAATAAAGTGTAAGCAGGTGACCTGTTACTCCATGTCAGTGTGAGTAATTTCAAGACACTACACGTGTATGAATCGATATTTTTGTTTACTGCGAATGTAATGTTGTTTTATTCTTTAAACGAATGGGGGTGGCAACCAAGATAAATTACTCCCCTGAGAGCCCGGCCACCGTGGAGATGGAGCGATGAAATGAGCTCATGTGCATCCACTACTTGTACAACCTCTATTTTAACGTTAGGGAGTAGGGGGGAGTGTGGAATATGGTAACCCGAGTTCGATTCCTGGCCATGTGAAACGTTAGTGCTGAGTGATATCTGAATCGATCCTGCACATCCTCTCTCCCCCTACACCCACAGGCCAAATCACCAAACCAAGACTGACAATTGTAGTGAAGTATAGTGAAAGAAACCACAACTGACAACGCATAGGATGGACCAGATGCCTTCACGCAGGAGTGGATTGACAAAGGGCTGGAAATGATTGTTCAATATATTTAAAATGAAATTGACCGCATGACATGCATTTTATGCAAATGTATACTTCATACAATCGCAGTGCAGCTGTTTGAATTCGTAAATATTTCACGAAAATGGAGCAATGATATCCGCTCTTGTGCATCAACTATAGACATATTGTTGCATCGCGAGACCGTG